TATATTTATGTGACTCGCTTTTATAGAAGTGAATAACTTTAATAAGCATAATTTAAGAACTGAAATAGCTGCTGTGTAACGTGCTTTGTTTATTACCGTGGTACGTAACAGATGGCTAACAGCGTTAACCCTGAAAGGTTGTAAAAATAGGTGTCTAAACTTTCAGCAAGGATTTTTAAGCTTTTCTTTTTATGTAGTAATTCATTTAACATACTTGTTTGAAATTTCATATTGATATTTATTTATTGTTTCTTTTGAGTATCAAGGTAATATATTCTATAATTCGTACTTTTAGTATCACTCCTTCAGAAGTGTTTCATGAAATACGTAAAATTTATCTTTTCTTGGTATAAAATATTGTTCTTTACGATTTGGTAGTTCTGCTTTCTTTACTTCCTTGTACGAAGTAAAAGAAGTATTCAAATCGCGGCAAATTTCAGGTATTATATTTCAACGAAAATATCCATTTTGACTTCTCTCGAATCAGTATTAAGGATGTTTTTGCGTGACATCTGTACGTACGGAAAGAATGAAAGGACTCTTTTTTTTCCAAAACGGATTGTAAAAGGGATTTAAAATGGATTCAGAAGACATATTTTCATGACATCTTTACGTATGTTTCTATCTGCCTCGCGTAACTCAAAAACAAATAGCTATAGAACATTAAAACGTTGTATATGAAACTGATGTAACATCTGGTTGGTACGAACAGAATGAAGGACTCTTTTTTTTTCCAAAACAGATGGATTTAAAATTGACTGAAAAAGACATATTTTCGTGACATCTGTACGTAGGTACGTATGTATCTTGCATAACTCTAGAATGGGTAGCTATAAAACTTTGAAATTTTGTACATGGGACTGCTATAACATCTAGCTGTGCACCTGCCTTTTTCGTTGTAATCGGCCATACCAAACGTACATAAATAAATATATATATACACACATATACGTAATAAAATGACTTTGAGTAAGTTGCAACGGATTAACTATGGTTCTCCTGAATGATAATCCTGAGGGAAGGGACTCTACAGCACAGTTAGAAAGAAGAAACTCAAAGGAGAGGCTTGTAGACAGGCGTGGCTGAGTTGAATATAATTTTTATTGGTGGATACGAACTAATTATCGAAAAGATATTCTTCAGGACACATGATCATGTGCGCAATACGCACCGCACAATTTTATATAGAGTATCACATTTTCGATAATGGAATAGTTAGTAGCATGGCCGAGCAAACGGAACGAAGTAGCATATTAACTGCAGGAGAGCTGAAACTAAAAGTGCGCAATCATCCAGTATGGAGGCTCACTATGAGAAGTGGTGTAGATTAGAAAGGTTTCGGTCTTCAGAATTTGACTTCAGGTTCCGAGTTAGCTATTACGCCTCCTTGTTACGCGGCTTGGTGAGCTCAGATTTTTGTTCTTAAATGTTAGTAAATGTTGCATTTTTTGCCTTAAAAGTTGATTCAGTTAAGTTACTCCTCTATTCCGGTTAAGGATTTTGAGCCTTTAGTTAATCTGCAGGCAATAGTTGTAGAATTATTAGCAACTGAAAAGTTTAAGTGGCACTAGGTCTAACGGGGTCTCCATTTGATTAATTTGTTTACATTAATAGAATATTGAATTAAGTCAATTTGTGAGCCAACTTTTTTAACAGATGGATCAAAAACAGAGTTAGGCGTAGGAAGTGCTTATTGCGTTTTCAGAAATAATAATCTTATACAAACCTGGAAAACAAAACTGAATCATACAAATTCAGTATTTCAAGCAGAACTGTTGGCTATAAGAGAAACAATAACATATGCAAAGCAATTCTCAGTAACCAGTGCTATAATTTCTGACAGTGCCTCAAGTATTCATGCAATAGCTGGTCATAGTCGCTCTCCTTTGGTTCAAGATGTACAAAATTTACTCGCGTATTTTCCAACTGGACAAAAACCTAAACTACATTGGACGCGTGCCCACGTAGGGACATTGGGCAACGAAATGGCAGATAGCTTGGCAAAAGAGGCAGCAAATGGTACTAAACAGCAATAACCTATTTACCAAATCCAATATCACTTTTAAAATCAAGACTTGAACAAGACTTGATTTCTCAATGGAAACTCATGTGGTCACAAAATAATACGAGCAGACGAACTTTTATGTTTCTACCAAAACCAACACGAAATTTAGTTACATCAAATAATGCAATAACATATCTTCTAACAGCACGCAGACCCTTCATATCTTTTTCGTTTCGTCTTGTATCATACAGACAGCTGCATATGTGGATCAACAGGAACACTAGATCATTACCTGTTTGAATGTGCAATCACTAAAGACCTCCACTTTCGTCCTTTCACAAGTGAAAATGCCCAAGGATGGTTCAAACAACTACTCAGAAGTAAATCTCTCCGCAAAAAACTTCATAATTTAATGGAATATCTCATAGAAAATTGTGATAATCTAAAGGCAGCATAAATTAAAGCATCACAATTCCACATCAGCATTATTTCGACATAAATAGCATCACTTCAAGACAGTACAACTTCATTCAATCAACAAATATGAAACTTACTTCAGACTAACTATTAACTTCAACAGATAAATAAACTTTAACAGACTTATGAGTGAATTTTAATGAATAGTGAACTATTTATGAATTATAACTATTTATCAACTGTGAACTATTATTACATTTCAACAAATCATCAAAATCCTATTTTATTTATTATGTACATAACCAAAATTTTGTATTCTGCATTATGCATTCTATATTCTATGTACGTACCATCCAAATTTCTGTTAATATTTATATGAATTCTGTCAATGTATGTCAAGTCTATGTCAAAATTATGTATACATCAAAATCAAATTTTTATTATGTAAAATTTTAAATAAAACTGGTCCCACTGAGGGTTACGTGGTCAGAGCGGACGTGGTCTGAGCGGACAGTGGCTATAGCATACACGTGAGGGTAGCTGGGTGGGCAGAGCGGACGTTCTTGAATCTATTGTGTTGTTTACTTAAGCAGTCTCATGTCCTCTATTGTGTGGTTTCGAGCTTTGCACCTGCTATAGAGATAAGCCGATAATTTTAAGAGAAAAGGTTTTTCTCATTTTATCAGTAGATGTTTGATCCTTATGAAGTGTGTATGTCGTTTTATAGCCTCGAAAAAATTTGTGATGGAACCCATAGTCATTTCAACAAAATTACTCTCTACAAAAAAGGAAAAGCACGTTTAGTTGTAGATGATTACCCTCACCGTTTACACCGAAAAAATAAATTAGGAATGAGTTGGGTGTGCAAGACAGATCGTTGTTAAGGAAATGTAAAGACAAATTTTCAGTACGAAGTACTGAAGAAAGCTGAACATTCCTGCGTGCCCAAGAAGTTGAAAGGAAATTCGAGACTTGCAGACAAGTGTCCAAGAAGAAACATCAGTCTCCGTTCCCCAAATATTTCAAGAACTTTCAGAATTATATGAGAAAGGATAGGATTTCGTTACTAAAATACCGACATACGCCAGTGCCAAGAGTAATTCCAGTGCCTTGTAATTCGATAATCGAGTGCAAAAACAGAAACCTTCAGTAAAAAAAAAAAGTAATTCTACTTGAAAGAGATTTGCCACTTAAAATATTGTTTTAAATTATATTTGTGATTATTAAAAGTATTTATTTACTTATTTATCTGCACTCTTCATCTGTTCTAAGATGGGGAAAACATGTGTCCGCTCTGACCACGTCCGCTGCAGCCACACCACCCCCCACTGAGTGAGCAGTGAAGCTGAAAGTCTTCATGGCGGCGCAGCTGCTCACCCAGTGCTCCTCCTGTCTTTTTGCCCAGTGGAACCAAAAGATAACGTTCACCGAAAAATATATCTTCTTGCCCGCTGACCGAATTGCTTTTTTTTTGCATGGACTCTAATTTCAGTTGTTAAAAAAAAAAAAAAAAAAAAAAAAAAAAAAAAAAACACCACTGTATTTGGTGTTTTAGGTTTTTCTGTACTTTGCAATTTGGAATATAGCTGCTTCGAGTTTTTATGAATTTTTTCCCTGCCGCGAAATGGGAACTGAATTCACTGAATGATAAATATATCTGTTAATAAATTCGAAAAAAGTTTAAATGAAGTGCAGCAAAAAATGGATATAAATTAATAGGCCGTACAAGGAAGTTATGTGGTGTCCATATTAGATATTTTTAATAACGCATTTATTTGCAAAATTAAAAAATAATCTTCCGCATTTTTTATGTAAAGGAGGGAATTTAAAAGAGATTAACCAGAATATTTCTAGTTGTCCAAATACATCCTAAATTAATTTAAAATCATAATTCCATTCAAAAAACAGAACTGCATTTTTAAAACGTTTTTGCTGCTCTATCACCGGGAAGGAAAGGTTAAATATATTTTAAACATAATTATTTTACAGGAGTGAAAATTTTAAAATGTGTTTTCATATCTGAATCAGATACTTATATAAGTGTAAACTAAAAATCTTGACACGGAATTCAATATAAAAGGCTAACCAAAAATATCAATAAGCAAAAGGAAAGAAAATATAACTATTCCAATGGAATGCTAAATCTTTATTTTAAAATTACAATCAGATTAAAATATAGAATTCGTTTTCGTATGTGACTGGGACCATAAAATTCTTATCAAATGTAGAATGTTTTTTCTTATGAATTCATTATAAAAACTGCACAAAGATATTGTAAACAACTATTGTAACCCTGCAAAACTTAATCGGTCATGTTCAGATTTTATCTTCTTCGTCTGCAGAGCGTAGGGTGTAAAAATGCGTGACACTCCATCGACGTACAAATTATTGCTATATCTTTATAAACAGTGCTAAAATTATTTAGCTAGAATACTAAACTAAGCAAACTGCGCTTCTTGGCGTTTTTGTAGCAACCCTAATTTCGAAAAGTGGACAAAGAGGTCACTGGGCCTCGCATCGGAAAGAACGGAATCGCTTGGCGTAATCTTCCCCTTTCACACGATATTACAGATGTCTTTCGTTTTCATCCCTCCTGACATCTCTCTCATCATTTCTTCTCCGAACGCTCAGAAACGAGTCCTTTGAGACCGCTTGTCTTGAAAAGCAAATACGCACGTGGTTTTACTGTCTCGTGCGATGTTGGCCACAGATAGATTTCCTATCAGCGAGAGCAAATGGAATGAAATGTGCAGGGCTAATTTGGTAAGATATAATTATTTTAATGATTACTTTGCATGTGAAAAATATATAAGTATATTTATATATATAAGCTATAGCATTTAAGCGCATAAGCTTATTTACATCAAATAACTAACCCTGCTTGAAATTTAATAATTCAGCTATAAATCCCAGCAAATGTTAAATTTTCGATCTCACATTTCATTAGTTAATCGACGAAGAGAAATGGTATTTAGAGAAAAATCGCTACTACTAACAATAGAAAAATACTAATAGCATTTTTGCAAAATTGCAAGTAATTAACTGAGTAATTAATTTACAAAAAGAAATCCGAGACCAATTTTATAAGAAGAAAATTGTTTACTGTATTAACTGGTTACTAAATAAATGCGATTTACTGTATTAACAATTACATAATGTGGTTACTAAATAAATGCGATTCTAGTAATTATTGTAACATGTTTAAAATTAGGCAAACGAGTAACCCTAGATTGGCAAAGGTTTTGATAAGCTTTATCGATTTCGATTGTAGTCAAGCACAGGTCCCTCTTCTTCAGGAGCAAAAAATTTTTTGCTTAATTTTCAATTTTGTATTTTGTTATTTTATATTTAAACGTGTTTCTGTTCAATTTAGATATTAGAACATATATAGAAAGTATGGAATTTGTGAGAAAAAGTAGACTTATAGAGAAAACAGTTGTAATTTTTTCGTTTCATCCTTAACGTTAGGCCCAGCTCCAACGTTTTCAGTGCCCAAGACGGTAATGATTGTTGACACCGTGTATAAATTAAATATATTAATAAATCCAAGGAAAATCTGTTTTTATTTAGCTTTCACCTTTGATAATAATTTAGTTGGCGCCCTTCGAAAACAGCCGCTTATATTTGAAACCGGCCCTCTTCGTTTGCTCTACCAGTATTTGAACTGTTAAATCCGCGAAACACTGGTAGTTTGTCCTGGCTACGATTCTCAGTGGTAAGGATCAACCCCCCTGTGCGCGCTTCTATTAAGTGATTAGCTTAATTAACACATAGAACTAGCATTGGAAGATCCATGACTCGAATTTTTGTGAAGACACAACTGAATTCTCATGTTTCATGGCTCCGAAAAACATATGAGAAAATAAATCTCTGATAAAACACTAACTTAATTAGCAGTGGCTCTTTAAATTTCTTCTTTAAATTTTTATTTGTTCTCCCTCCTAGTCGCTATCTGCAATGCATCAAAATCATTCTTGATCAATGCACATATATGACTTGATAACGCTCATGACGTAACTAATTCGGAATATAAACCGAAACTTTCTCTTAATAAGCGACTTAAACCGAAACCTTGTCAACCTTGTCTTGGTGAGCTTCCACACTGGATAACTGCTCACTTTGCTTCTAACTCTGTTCTCGCTAAGACGACTTCTTATCATTACATATGTAATAACAAAATACGATGGCTGCTTTAAGAATAATTGGCGAGCTCAAAATTAACTATTCTAGATTTTATGCTCTCCCCATAAATTCTCTCCGTTCTCACAAATTCGAGATCTTTCCATATTACATAATAACCTAAAATTAACCAATCACAGATTAGCTGTACTTATGAATCATACTTAATAGAAATACTCTTGCCACAATTACGTCATTCCTTTACCTTGCAACGTTCACCTTGCAAAGAACTCTGTGCCGCTTATGCTATCCTGTCCAAAATGCTTATGTCATACTTTTAAAACCCGTGTACATGAAAATTAATGTGTTTTCACTATGATTAAAAAATTTCTTGTCTGAAAAAGGATGATTTTTGATATGTGCGAAAATGAAGATTGGTGATTTGTAAAAACCCAGTTACGTCATTTTCAGCCATGACGTATATCGGAAGCTGTTAAAATCTCCAGTGATTCCTTCTACGCATTAAATTATGAGGTAATATGTATATATATATATATATGTCTTTGCAGTGGGGCCTGAACTAAAATTGTGATAACAATTACTTGTCTCCACCAGGATTTGTTTGAGTAATAGGTTGAGGTAAAGAATTATCACACCCTCCGCGTGTGTGCTTCTATAGTAAGTGGATAACAGTTATCTTTGAAGAGCCATGATTCGCATCCCGGCGAAGACAGAGTTGTATTTTCAACTTTTCTTCTCCGAAAATCCTAACAATATGTAGATCGCAATTAAACAAGTTGATGTAAGGAGCTTTCCATCAAAAATCCTTGACGAATATATTTTTCAGATTTTTTTTGTTTTTTTTACACTTTTAGAGATTGTGTCCTGTTACTTGTGGTAAATCCTTGAGTAGACCAGTACGGGGCTTTTCAATGTGTCTAAGATGAAACGGAAAAGGAGAGTGTAAAAGGCACTTTCATTCAGAACTCAAAATAATTTAACAGACTGCACTTCTTGTGCTTACAAACCAGCCAGCAACTACGGCATAACTCAAGTGATGATTTCAAATTAAAACTAAACTGAGTAGTAGGTTAGCAGAAGGGTTACATAGCAATGAATAACGCGTCAGTTGACTCAAACTATATCGGTGAGACAAGCACTATTAGCAAGAATAACAAAACGCGAAGAAAGATTGCTATCGAAGAATTGCAACTAGTAACGTGGCCTTCAGCAGGCGAAACACGCTCTGATTAAATATTCTAAAACCTTTCTTTAAATGCTATCTTTTTCTACCTCATCTGAATACGCACGAACTAACAATTCTCATTCTGACAAGAAAACCGAAAAGGAGAATGACATAAAGATATTTAACGTAAAATAACGGGTTAGATATAAAAATGGATAAATCCTTACTCCTTAATCGGTTGATGTAACTCCTGGTTTCTCTGAAGCAGACACCGAAGACGCATCAGCTTTTATATATGTAGGAAAAATAAAGAATATGTAAAATAAAATCCTATTTTTAATTTATAATAGCCCCTTAAGTTTTGTATTTAATTTATTTCCCTTTTGTGTTCTAAAAACAGTAACATGCTCATAATAAATCTCTTAACTGCGTCATTTCAAAATTAATTCTTGTCATAAAATTCTTATCTGATTCTTATGATGTGCTTGCGTAATTAGTAGAAGGTCGTTTAGCCATACTATTTTTTCCTTCAAACTTAGCTGTTGTGCGTCAAATTTCAGTGCAAAAATAATTCATTTCTAAAATAGCTTTCCTTTTTTTCACGTTTTTAGCTACATGTTAGCATAGTACCTATGCGTGAAATTTCGTCTATTGCTTAAATAACATCAAAAAGTAAAAAAATTATGCCCAATAATCTTTTGTAATATGCTACTAACTGTTGCTTTCCAGCTCGACGGCCCTGTGCCCCCAGATTCTACTCATGCACTTTTCATTTGTTACATTTGCTCACATTTGAAGTCATTAACTTAGTGACGATGAATTCTCTAAATCCCAAAAATATTTTTAAAAAAATTAATGAATTATATATATATATATCTATTAAGTTACTTTTACCTATCGTAATTTCAATTAATCTGTTCTACTTGGGGTAAGGCTTTTAGCCTAGGTATCCTAGGTGGCTTGATGCACCGTTCCACTGGAGGCGAAAAATTATGCCTGGAGAAGAAAAATAAATTACACGCTATCTGTTTATGTTCAGATATTAATTTCAGAAAAATGAAACAGTGATCTTGCACTGAAAAAAGCAAACGAATATGCATGCACTGTCTCGCAAATAAAAGTACGAGCATCAAGGTTAAAAGGATAAAGACTTAAATGTAAAACTCCGTGATATTGCATTAATTACTTCAGTATAAAATGGAGAAAAGTGTTTAGATTAAAATTCAATGATTTTTATTTAAAACTTCGGAGAGGTGTTAATGATTTCAGTTAGCAATAAAACCTTTTTTCTTCATTACAAATAAAGATCAGAAATATGAGGCCACGTAGTTGCCAGTTGACAGTGCATAAGATCTTTTCGATATTATATAGAATTACATCGCTCATCGACGTAATAAATTGAACCATTTAGAGAGTTATTTTAACTACTTTCTCATTAACATTTTACGTAATATAGCATGAAGGCTGCAATCTTCTTTATATATTTCTTTTTTGAATTTTATTGAAAAATTTTAATGTATTTTTACTATAATGTTTTTAACCTCTTGTTGCGACCATTTGTGTGCGATAACCAGTATTTATGAGCACGCGAAAGAAGATCAGAGTATCTGGAATTATGTGTGGTCGACTTAGAGAGGGCATTTTGACAATTTTCTGTTGATGCCATTTTATATTTAATAAATAAATAAACTGCTAGGAACCGAGTGTTTTCTAATAAACATTGGTAGTTCGACCAAACGTTTCATTAGTTTTCCTATAAGCGACGCCGCTCCCACCAATGGCCGAGCATCAAGACTGCTGAATTCTCGTAGTTCGTCCAGGATTCGAACTCAGATGAACGGTTTGACTGCATGTTTCTTAGTTTTCTCCATATGTAACATAAATACGTGACCGTTTCACTTAGAAAATCCTCCTTGATGGCGTCTGTTCCCTTAGGCAGATTGCCAAACCTATCACTGATGCGAATACGAGCGAATTTCTATTAGAAACCCCGCCACGAAAACATCTGTTCCTTTAGGTAGGTAATGATAGTCTATGATCGAATTAAGAAACAAGAGATGCAAGCATTTAGAAATAGAAATTTGTTTAGACATGAATTTAAATTTTCGTCAATAATGAAGATTTATTATAAGTTTGCAACAGGAGATGTTATTTTATTTTTGAGCATGTAAGGTTCTAATTTTAAGCTAATTAGTTACTATGATTTTATTCTTTACTTTAACTACTACTTTCCGTACTTCTCACCAAAAAGCAAAATAGCTTGTAATGTATTTAAGCTGAGGATTTTGGTATCTTGGAGAGAGAGAAAGAGTTCCTGGCACTGGCGTAGCGTTGTTAGAATTCTGCCAGCTCTAGCTAAATATAATTACCTTGGCTTTGCATAATTTCGAAGCCGATACTTTAAATTTACGAACCAGTAAATTATTTGAGCCAGCTTAATGACTTGACTGTGTAGGCT